CTTATTGATATATACGTTGGGTACGGGCAAACCGTTATATAAATAATTTTGTCAGTTACATTTTGGATAACTGCAAATGATGAACTATACTTTTAAGATGACTTTGGCAAGTCAGCCATGTTTTGAAACACAATGTGGAGAGATTGTGTTGACATGATGCCCTGACTGCCACAAGTTTTTAACAAGTAACTAATCCTTCAAAGGTGGCTCCATAAAATTTTAATTCCTATTTTCCAATCCAATCCACTCTACATCTAGATGGTGTGAATCAGCTGAAGGAAAAACACATGTCTCATTCCTGACCAAGTCACAGCAGGCCACCAAGCATTTGCCTGCACAAGACCTATCGATATAGAATAACATGACTAGATCGGCAGTGTGTGCATATGCTCCCATTCACTGTGTGCAATACTGTCCCTCTTGGATGCCCCAATATGAAAGGCAGAGTATAGAGTTAAACGTATCTTTCCTCAAGTACATGACCTAGCTCATCACGCAAGAAGTTACTGAAATAGCACGTAGTGTGCGTGGCACACACGGAAGGCTTGTGCCACTTTTTGGCCAGTTAAGCCCTCAACACTGCATTACAGGGAGGTCCTCTATTATACGGCAAATTAGTGCCGAGACATAGGGACTTTCTTCTGTCCCCACAACATTTTTAGTCCACAAAATATCAGTGATATGACGAGAGTACAGTCCCGAAACTATGGAGAAAGTACCAGTATGTCTGACATTGTCCATATGAGTTGATGTCCTCGAATGGCCAACAGTGTGCTTAATTCTGGGCCTACACTGTTGGGATACCAAACTCAATTACTGCTCCTGACGCTCATAAGCTAGTTACGATCTCGATTAATATTTTCCATTAAAATCTGCACATTTTTATGCTAACCTCTTTCCCAGGGTATTCCCTGATGACTTTGCGTAACTCCTGCTTATTGAATGCCATCTGGTACCCCATCTCCTCTTCCTTAACTCCCTGTGACACCAGTACCTGGATACCTTCAAAGAATTGCTGTAGCAAAGCAAGGGATCGGATTATTTGTTGAAAATACAGTCCGCGACAGAGCATTACTGTCCAAAATGTTGAATCCACCATTCTTTTCAGAATCTTATTCACTCACAAAAAAAAAAATCTACATGGTGCCACTGCAAAACAATGTCTCATTGCTACATATTTAAACCTTCAAATCATAAATGGAACAAACAACTTAATGGTTACAGCAGTTACATTTTACAAAGGGCCTTCATTTAATTCTAGAGGGTTATTTATCATTTCCCATGGTTTACAGGAAAACCCTTGGCTGGAGGAAGGTTATGATGAATTGTCTTACGTTGAGTTTATCCATGGGTCGTCCTAGGGAGGCTCGTATGTATGCTTGCAGGTGGTCATTGTATTTCTGTTTTGCTTCCTTGCGTTCAGCCTCCAGACAAGTTATCTTCAACCTTGACAAAGTTCCTGGTGATACAGATGAACAAATAAATTGCGATAAATTCAAACTGGAAAGGCTGCACCATAACAGATAAGTTCTGCAAATTAAATTCCTCTCATCCTAAACAGAGGGAAGTATAAATCAAGCCATCTACACGTACAGTGTACATGCACGACACTGTAAGAAAGCTTGCTATTCATGTAAGATTTAAAGTGTGCACACATCTAATGACCACAATCTAAAACCTGGCTGATACTAACACCAGTTTAAAAAGCAATCACAAGGTCATTGTCCATCGTACAAGTGGTGCTCAATCCAATAAAATATTGATTTAATTTCTGACAAGGATTAGCTCATGGCAAATACCTGCAGCCAATCAAATACATGTATATGCTAACAATTCCCACACTAAATAAAAACTAAGACGGCTAAAAACACTCAAAGTGGAAGTACTCATCCACAAACTAGAGTCATAAGCAACACCATAAACCACATCATACAGAAAAATGAAAGATGTGACAGTACATGCAGCATCATTAAACTACCTCTCTAATGTGCCAACTAGGGAAGTCATTCAACTACACGAATTATTCTTGTATACATGTACACACACGTATTACTGCACATCTCCAATAGCCCATTCGTAAGATCTCTGGGATAAACGAACAAGGATCATGATGCAAGAAAAGAATGCATTCATAAACTTACCATGGATGTGATGAAAGTTTTCTGTAAAAAAAACAAGAATAAAATAAGATGTTATGTATGTTAAGGTAGATTTGTACAGTCATTAACCAGACAACTTTGAATAGCATTTCTTTATTGACTGAGTTAATACAACTATTGTAGCCCAAAATGTATTTGACAATGAAGCGCACATGGTTCAGTGTGGTAGTGGTTGAAATGACTGCACTGAGGACTTTCTGATTAGACTTCCTACAAACACGAATTTCACAAGCAATCTTCCATCTTCAAACATTGAAAACAAAAACTGTGAATTCTGTATAAAAATGAATACATGTACATGTATCTCTATGGCTGAGTATAAAGCAAGAGGTGAGATAAGAACTGAACAGGCTTAAGCTCAGTACCAAATATGACAACATCACTGGGTGTTTTCTGATGCTCTAAGGCAATTTTGTGGATGGCACTGAAATGCGCTTGGATCAGCTTTGAGTAGGCCTTGTCCAGGTCACCACGGCGATCTGACCCTTTAAAGACCGTCTCTGCTTGCTCAGCAAACCACTGCAACATGGTAAGAGATTAGAAAGAGGAATATCAGGTACACATTATTACGTCAAATGTGATTCCAATGACAAATACAAATTGTTGCTACATCATAAACTCTTGCTGTTGCATCATAAACTCTGTGCACATCCATACACTCAGCCGTGAAAGGATAAAAATGCTGCTGGTTGATGAACAGATCTCAAATCCTGTATGTATTATTCAGGGCAGCAAAGTACAAACTGCCACAGTGAAGCCATGAGATAAAACAGTGCAAGTTGAAAATACGATGAGGGTAGTCTTAGTTGTTCCCTACTAACTATGGTCAATCAAAATCCCACCTTCACTTCAAAATACAATGGTTGAACCACACTATTATAAATTCACTATTTTGACTTAGCGGTGGCGTGGTACGGTGGGTAAAGGCGACATCCACCCCCAAACATTCAGTAATAGGTACCCTTTTTCATGATGCAACTGACATCATATAATTGTGTTGCCATAAAGAGCACTGCTTACTGTACCGTGCAGCTAGGCATGACAGAAAGTGGTGTCGAGCCCCATCCCCCAACTCCCAAGTGGGAGCTTGGGTGACAGGTGAAAGGACCCTACCCTTCGGTACCGATGCCAACTTGTCAAGTACCCCTTTTCACATCAATCCCTCCCCCCATGAAAGCAACCTTGCTAAGCCATTGATTAGGGTGGGACAAGGTACATATAGTTATAATAATATTAACTAATGACAATGCAGAGAGCAACAAGGGTCGTAAGCAATGCAATTGAAAGAAACTAGTGTTGAGAATATTATTTTTTGTCATGTGCTGCAATTGGTCATGGTTTGAACAACATATTAAAGCGAACCAACTTGCATTGTTACATGCTCTTTGTAGGAACAGGTGATGGTGCACTTCCATACCTCAATGGTAACTAAATGGGAGCGTATACCATACTACTACTGGTACATGCTCTGTGGGTTCATGTAAATTTGGTGTGGGATGCACTAATTATGAACAACCAATCAATGTACAGCTTCTGTTTGTGCATCAGGCACCCAGATGAAACAATATGGCCGTTTCACAATAGTGCGCCACCAAGAGTTTGCAACGCATTGGCCAATCACAATGCGCGAAATTTGTCGACCCAATGCGCGTTTGGAAAAGGTCGACAAATTTTGCGTGTTATGATTGGCCAAAGAGTTGCAAACTCTTGGTGGCGCACTATTGTGAATCACCCGTATTTCCACCACCAACCAGTCTCTTCTTTGCTTGTCAGTGGTTGCTTCAAGTTGAATTATCAGTAGACAGACAAATTGTTGAGTTGCTGTTTGTGTTCAATAAACCTACTGGCTACATTCTACCGGTAAGTCACAAACCAGTCCAATTCAGTCCAAAAGTCCACTTCACCTCAAATTCCTTCACAAATGGCAGGATTCCACACTTGCTCTTTCTGGATATCTTAGTTTCTCTTATTGATGTTACAATGCCATCCTATCAGAAGAAAAAAGAAAGTCAATGTATAAGATCTTGATTGACTTTTGTATCAGCAAGAAGCAAACCTTGACACTATGTCCCTTTTTTAAAGTAGAACAAAACTCATTTTTAAACTCCTAAGATGTAAAAATGTAAATCAATGAACTTCCTTCTCTCTTTTCACAGTATGTCAACCACAACTACACATTTCCAGTCCACATTGCAAAGCCATTGCCACAGATTTTCAGCAAAAATATGTGCTTTTGGCTGATCAATCAATCAGGAGTATAGTTTTCCTAATGGAACAATGGAAATAAATTTTTCAAATATCTTAAAGCTCTATAAAAAGGCTTAACATTTTTAACAGATAGACATGACAGATCAATTGTTTTTTCTATACTAAAAACCACTATTCTGAAGGTGACAAGGGAAAACGTGCATGAGCCAGGTGACTTATCACAACAGTAACTGAGTCAATGGAGTTATACATGTACACACTGCGCCATAGGTAGGGCACAGGTACATGTAGGTAGGTTTCTTAATCAATTATTCAAGGCACTCATTTCACTCCGCCTTATAGATGCTAAAAGTTGCCATGGTAACTAATTACACTAAATTCAGGAAATTCTTGGAGGAGAAATTTCACTGCCACAAATTCTCTTGGATACTCATTTTAAGCTCAGAAATCCAATTACTGAGTGTACACGTAAGACCTTGCTTAAATGTCAGACACAACCAGCACAATTTAGTTGAGAATTAACTTATACATACAGTGAAAGCATGACAAAGTGTGGGAACTCACAGTTTAATCATGCCAGAATCAAAGCCTGTGGATAGAGTTGCAAGGACTTTAAAATTAGAAGACCCAAATTTCCGTGTTGTGTAATTGAAAGCAGGACTGTATATATATATGGGGGGTAAAGAGTGTATACAAGAGAACTGCATATTGATGATAGAAGACTTCAACCATTCAATCTTTGATGTGCCCATGATGCTGAATTCTCCAGGCTGCATCATTTACTCCACCAACACAGATATATGCCACTCCATTTAAAGAATATTTTCTCAAAGGTAAAAAATAAGTAGTCACATCAAGGCAATGGTGGAATGAGACTGATCTGGGCCAGAACATTGACAACTTGTGTCACAGTTTTTATGTCTCCAACCATGGAATCCATGCAACTGGCAGACATGTTCAACACAACAACTTCCAGTCCAGAAAATGTCTCCCTAACTCCATTTGCGATTGTCACAGCCACTCTCATAGCAACAGCTCTCATTCTAAACTTCCTACTGAATCCACTGACACTTTTCACCTTACGTCGAGCTACCAGCATTCAGCCTACAACCAAGATTTTCATGGCTTCTCTCACCATGTCTGATTTCTTGACTGGACTATTCTGGGTCATCAAACTACCAGAACTCCTCACAGGAAAATGGCCGCTTGGTGAATTTCTCTGTGCGGCCTATGGTGTAATAGTCTATACATTTATAGCACTAGTCTTTTTCTCTCTGCTACTTCAAACTGTGGATCGTTACATTGCAATTTATTGTCCACTACACTACCCAACTATGATGACAGTGTTCAGATCTAAGCTCATAGTTTGTGTCACATGGGTTATCACCATTGCTGGATACATTTTACTGTTTGGGATCTATGACCACAGCTCAGTGCAGCAGAGCAGTCCTCATTTGTGTCTTGCATCAACCAATGATCTCGGAGGATATATCTCCCTTCTGGTCATCGTGCTTGTGTTTATCACAATATCAGCTCTGTATGGCCATGTTTCCTTGACTGCTCATCGTCAAGCTCGACGCATTGCTGCTGAAAACCAAACAGGCATTGTTCAAGGTGGGCCGAGGATTAGCATCCGATCAACCACCACCATCATCATCATTACAGGCTCAATCTTTATTGCTTGGATTCCTTCTGTTATTCGATTAGCCATACTAACTCCACAAACAGATTTTCCTATATATGATGCCTATTTAGCAGAAAACTTTACAGATGCTTTACTGTTGACAAACAGTTGGTTGGATGTTGTAATTTATTACTTGAGAAACAAGGATCTCCGTAAAGCACTCAAAAGTTTACTTGTTGACTGGTTTCAGTATCTGCTCCCTTGATTTTTCAAACTCAGTTTTAAGTATTTGACTAAGAGACATAAATGTGACAAAGCCAGGGCAAATTGTAGAAAAGAGAGAAGTCAGATAAAACAGATTAATGCATAGCTGATGACTGGACCATCATGACCAAACTGGCTCATGTTTTGAGACTTTAGCTTCAGATGTTCCACATTCAAATAGCTTCACACGTATATATTTGTAGATGTACCTGTAGATGCACATTTCAGATACAGCCTATTTCACGATCTGAGAAGGAATGTTACATGTACATATCAATTGGCCCAAGCAATCACAGGTCAATCAATTAATCTGAAAGATATTCTTCTCAGTAAATAATTGTAGATTGCATGAAAAACAAACATGAAATAATTTATTGCACACTGATTGCTCAGCTTCTATTACACATGTAGATTACTTTAGCAGAGACAGGAAAAGAGTTTAAAATGTCCCTGAATGAAGAGCACAAATTGCTTTATACTTGGTCTTGTAATTATGCATGAACTGAATAATTTATGCAAGCAACAAATTCAGGAACAAAATTTAATAGTATTAACAATGCCCTCCTTATCAATATAACCATAATACAATTACTGTTGCTCACAAACTACAGAATGTTCCCCCATCTGTATAACAACAAAGGAAAACAACAGAAATAAAAAAGAAGCATGAATTTCAAAACAGTAAGTACCAAAAATATTTCAGTGAGAACCAACTGTATTTAATTTACCAAATGTGTAACAGGATTGGCAGTTGTCTCAAGTGTGCTACATGTACATGTGTGCTTCCTTTAGCTCCTGACCTCTAGAAATAAATGTAGAACCCTCTCCTGGTCACCAACAGTCCCTTGGGATGCACAGTGATCTCACTGCCATTCCATATGTGTATAATATTCATGTACATGTATCTCTGTTAACACCGCCTTGGCGCTAAGGCTGCCTTACCTCCTCATTCAGAAGACAATAGAGGATGAATATGAAGACACCCTTGGTTAACATTACTGTATCATTTCAAAGGGTAGGGAATATGGGTGAACAGCAATCTAGTACACTTTGTGTAAACAGACACAACGGTTGATAAGAAAGCTCCTTCACTGATACAAATAATTGTACAATGCCGATTTCCTTGAGGTAAACATCCGATCCTGTTGACCTCGCACTTTTGCAAAAAAAAAAAAATCATAGATCAGTGGTGGATTTTATAGAAAGGGGTGCAAGGAGTGCATCCCCAAAACAGCAAGCACAGACAAAGAATTTTAAACTGGCTCCATTGCATTTACATTGTGACTAAGGGCTTTGCACTGCACACTCACATTTGATCCTCCAAGTTTGTGCTCCCCCTCCACTTTCTAAAAAACTTGGATCGTAAGGGGTTCTAATCATCAGAAAACTGATTAAAATCTTCAAAACATTCAAAAGGATCAACAAAATCTCATCTGCAGGGCTAAAAATAAATCGGTCCCTTTGAAAATGTAGCAATGGGTGGACAGTTAAAATTGAATCAAGTCCTCATTAATACAAGGGACAACTGATGGAAATGGTTTCCACTTTCCAGCAGTGAAAAGCAGGAATAAAAGACCAATAACACTGTGATGAGTGAATTATAGTCTATTCTACCATTCATGCCATTAATCATGTTTTTATGTCCATGAACTCCCTCCCTTCCCCTAAACGAGAACTCCATACACATCTTCAAGAGGTTTGTAAGATATTGTAACAGACTATGCATAGTTCTTTTTTTAAATAAATATCCTCCAAGGTTAATTCACTGATTTTACAAACTTTATCTGATGCCCTAAGTGTCCATCTTTGATGCAAAAGAAAGGCCGTACAGAACTCTGGCTGTAAAATATAGATCTTCATATAAAACACAAATTGCTGGTTCTTTATCCTGGGTGGCTAAAACGGGTCATGTGTGGTTCACTATATAGACTTGTCCATGAAGTTTGCATTGCGCCAAGACATCACCACACACAAACTCCAGAGACTAGTGCCCAGTCAGGAACTAGTTTTGATTGGTTACAGTGCCCTAGTAACGAGAACAGTAAACAGCAACTCAAAAACTGAATCCCCATGAGCTAAAAGTATTCTTTCAATAATTGAATTGCTTGTTGAATTGTTTATCCCAGAAGAGTTTCTTTGCTTCTTTTATGTTTTAGACAGATGTGTGTTTAAAACACATATGGACTGACATACATTTGTAATTTGGTCACTTGTGACTGTCCATGAGCCCTTGTGCCTGCAAGTGACCAGAAAGGGTCATTTTGAAGTACATGATCGCATCTGACCCTCCAAGCATGGCCCACCCCCTTCTGAAAATCATGGATCAGCCCTTGCAAATGATATACATGTTCATGTACCTTACAAGGAGCTCTATTCATAACCAAACTGATTAAAATCTTTGAAATATTCAGAAGAACTAGTGAAACTCCATTCTAGAGGGCTAAATAGAAATCGACCCCAATGAAAAGTAGCGATGGGTAGGGAGTTAAAATTTAATCAAGACTTCATTACAAGGGGCAACTGATGGAAATGCTTTCGTCTTTCAAGCAGTAAAGAGTAGAAAAAAGACCAAAATCTCTGTGATGAGTCCAGGCAAATTAATTCCAAACTGGGCAATACTCATAGAATGATTGACATGGTCTTTGATGAGTAAATATATCTCGGGCTTTCCATGCTCAGATGTCCACATTCCCATTAAGGTCAAATAATGAATAATGAGGGCTCATTTAAATACTTTTCAATCTATTCTGTGGTATTAGCTTACCTCAGGAAGGAGTAAGACAGGTTGGCAGGTCTGCAAGCGGTTTTCTCTTTGTGGTGGCATGTCTTGGCCAGGATTCTTGCCAAGATTTGTCACAGGCATACATTTACAATGAGGCGCAGAGTGAGACA